GCCCCAGCCACGCCAGGCTGGGTGCCCAGCTGGCACCACAGCCCCCCCCACACCGGCTGCAGTCGCTGCCCGGGGTTGTGGCGTGGCAGGAATCATTTATTTCCACACAAAACATCCCCCTTGGAAGCGCCGTTGCCCCGGAGCTCCCGCTCCTAATTGCAGGCTGGAAGAGCCATTTTTTGGTTCCCCCCCTCACCCCCATTAGTGCCCAGTATTTGCTCAATCCCTGGTAATTAATTTATGGGCTGTTCGTGAGGCACTTAAATGAGAGCTCTAAATCATGCTAAGTGGCAATAATGCCATCCCGACTCCTCTGGAAAAGAGGGAATTACTGTCCTGCTTCCAGCATCCGTCCCCTCTTTCCTCCCTGCATCAACGCCACCTGCCACGGAGCAGCCACAGCATCCCCATCCCCATCTTGGCACAGCCCCAGCCGCAGGGATTGGAGATTTTTTTTGGATAAACCTGAGATTTTTGGGATCATCTTGGATGCAGAAGCATTTGGGGTTTGCACCCCTCCGCCCCGGGTGACAGGGAGCGGGAGGAAAGCAGGCTGTGGAATTTGCTGGGATCCAGGAGCCCACCCCAGCAAGTTATCCCTGCTCCAGGTGTGTCCTCCTTATCAGCCCAAGGCTTTTCCAAACAAACCGGCAGGGAGGGAAAGCCAAAACCACCAAAAGCAGGGAGGGAAAGCCAAAACCACCAAAAAAAAAGGGGCAAAGTGGGGGGTTTTGTTGGAAACATGGATATCTCAGAGATTCCCAGGCCCCCACCCCTCGTCCCTGTTACCTTCCTTCCTCATTCCCACTCGGAAGCACTTCTTCAGGCGGCAGTACTGGCATTGGTTGCGGTGGTGCTGGTCGATCTGGCAGTCCCGGTTGGATCTGCGGGAAGGATCGGGAGCAGGTGAGGGGTCGGGAAGGAGTGACCCCCCCCAAGGGGTCCCTGAGCCCCCTCCCGAGCTCCTCCAGCACCCCCTTCCCACTGGCCTCGGTCACAGCCCTTCCCTCCATGCTGGGCCTCCGATCCTATGGGAACAACCATTTCCCACATTTTCCTCCAGATCCTGCTGCCAGCGCTGCCCGGGGCTGTCGGGAAGCTGGGAAGACCCCCCGGGCTCCCCCGGGAGGGGGACATGTAAGGCCGGGGAGCGGTGTCCCATGTCAGCAGCTCCCTGCCTGCCCACCAGACACGCCAGGAATTTCAAGGAATTCCAACTATTTCCTACGGGGTTGGGGCGGCGCTGAGCCCACGAGCCCTCGGGCACTGCTGTCCCCGTGTCCCCAGAGGAGGGGGACACGTTCCCCCAGCCGGGACAGAGGGATGTTCCCCCTCCCCAAAACCCCCGGGAGCCTGGGAGGGGGGGTCATGCCCGCCCCTGGCACATGAATCCATCCCCTGGAACGGCGTTCCAGGCAACAGCAGCCACGTCCCAGAGCAACTGCTGAGCTCTGCTCCTGCAGGGAATAATTCCATTCCCAAACGGAATAATTCCATTCCCAAACGGAATCATTCCATTCCCAAACGGAATTATTATCAGCATCCAAACCCCTCAGCCCCCATTCCAAGGGAAGACGCTGATTCTCACATCCCACCCCAACAGAGAGGAGGGGGGGGAAAGGGGTGGGAGCAGGGAATCTGGGATAAATTAAAGCGGATAAAGCAGGAGGCAGGGCCGGGAATCGCCGGCGTGTCCGGCAGCGGCAGCTCGGCCCTGCCCGGGAATCCTGACACGAATCTCCTCAATCCCTACACGGCTCC